AAATGGTACTTCCCAATAAACTTTGAATCACCTTTAAGAATCTGCTGCTGGAAGCCATGAACTCTCTGGTCACAAATGCACAGAGGAGTCACATCATATCCAGGTGTTCAGCTCTAAAGATAGTCTCCGAGACAAAAATCACATGTAGTTGAAATTACCCTTGCAAATCCTTTGAATGCCTTTAAAAGTTCAGAGTATATAGTACAGTATTTACATAGAAGTTAGTTGGTTTACATTTGGGAGCCATGTTGTATTAAAAAACCTTTCTTTAAATAATAGAATCACTTCCAGCACAGCAAGAAGCTCACCAATAAGAGGCACAGGGGAACTCAGATTGTGTGAGAGACCAGCAGGTCTATGCCTGTATACACAAAATTTAGCATCATCTTCAAGAGACTCATAGACCTCAAAGCTCAGGCATGGACCTCAGGTTAAAGGTCTTTAGTACAGAGCTTTAAAATTTGCAAAGTGCTTCCCACACACTAGTTCATTTAAATGCTCTCAGACTCCAGTGAGATGGACTCTTCTCTTTATTCCTGCATGTCTTGGGAGAAGTGGTGGGCCCTGCATTTGCTAAATTGGTGGTTACCCCACTTTCTCTTGGTTACCCTTTCAGCTCTTCTAACACCTTTATAACTAATGCCCTACATTAAATAATCCCTACTAAATTACCTGGTATGGATTGTGTTTCCCAGCTGGACTCCGACTAATAAAGACTTCATAGGCCCCTGTAAGACTTGAGCTTTTACTCTAAGTAAAATGGGCAGCCGTTGGGGAGTTTGAGTAGAGATTCATGAATTGCCTTGAAGCCTGAATGAATGGAAAAAAAATTGTGTTTCCAAAAATGTTTCTTGAATTGAAGACACCTGCCCAATGTTACATAGAATTTGTGATGGGAGAGACTCATAGTACCTGCTCCTCTGCTCTCCACTCCATTTTAAATAAATGGCATTGAGAACCTCAGAAGCTTCAAAAACAAAGAAAGGTGTTTGGATATTCTCTAATAGTTTTATATAAGACTCCAACTCTTTGAAGGCCTTTGGAGGTGAGAGTTGACACTGAGAAGGCCCAGTCATCATTGACAGGACCTCACCAATAATGCAGAGGAAGGGTTTTGTCTGTTTGGTTTCCTGGGAGAGTGCCAGTTTTAGCAGAAAAGGGGAAGAAAATCCAGCCCCTGAGGAGCCCCTGCCAAGCAATTTTACATTCAATGGCTCATTTAATCCTACAAGGACACTGCTCAGTGGATATTAATATCTTTGTTTTGAAAAAAAAAAAAGTGCTTTCAGAGAGGTTAGGTAACTATACTAAGGTCACATATCCTCTTATTCCATCAACAAGTGGATCAAGGACCAGCCCCTTCAAGGTGGTCATGAAGGCAGGGGAGCGTGGGAGACTTTAAGAAAAGTCATTGAATAAGAAAGCCAGGTCTTTGGACTCAAAGTCATTTTGCCTCTTGGAGTCTCAATTTCCTCATCTGTAAAGTAGGAATAACATCAGTGCTACCCATTTCAAAAAATGTTTTTGAGCATTTAAATGAACTAGTATGTGGGAAGCACTTTGCAAATTTTAAAGCTCTGTACTAAAGACCTTTAACCTGAGGTCCATGCCTGAGCTTTGAGGTCTATGAGTCTCTTGAAGATGATGCTAAATTTTGTGTATACAGGCTCTTTGGCCTTTACATTTTCTATTCCCTCTGTCTGGATTTTATTCACTAGATAGCCACATGGCTCCATTCCCTGTTTCTATCACCTTCTAAGTGAGAGGCCTTCTCCAACCACCCTATTTAAAGTTGTACCTACTTCCCCTTCACTGGCTGTATGAGTCAATTTTCATACTGCCATAAAGAACCACCTGGGGCTGGGTAATTTATACAGAAAAGAAGTTTAATGGACTCACAGTTCTGCATGCTGTACAGAAAGCATGGCTGGGAGGCCTCAGGAAACTTATGGTCATGATGGAAGGGCAAAGGGGAAGCAAGTATGTCTTGCCAGGATGACAGGAGAGAGAAAGAGCAAAGGAGAAAGTGCTATGTGCTTTAAAACAACCAGATCTCATGAGAACTTACTATTATAAGGACTGCAAGGGGAAATCCACCCCCATGATCCAGTCACTTCCCACCAGGTCCCTTCCCCAACATTGGGGATTACAATTCAACATGAGATATAGGTGGAGACACAGAGCCAAACCATATCATTCTGCCCTCCTAAATCTCATGTCTTTCTCACATTTCAAAATACAATCATGCCTTCCCAACAGTCCCCAAAGTCTTAACTCATTCCAGTGTAAACTTGAAAGTCTGAGAGACTTCAGAAGTCTCATCTGAGACAAGGCAACTCCCTTCCACCTATGAGCCTGTAAGATAAAAAACAAGTTAGTTACTTGCAAGATACCATAGGGGTGCAGGCATTGGGCAAATTCTTCCATTCCAAAAGGGAGAAATTGGTCAAAACAAAGGGGTTATATGCCCCATGCAAGTCCAAGACCCAGCAGGGTAGTCATTAAATCTTAAAGTTCTGAAATAATCTCCTTTGACTCCATGTCTCACATCTAGGACATGCTGATCTAAGGTGTGTGTTCCCAAGGTCTTAAGAAGCTCCATTTTTGTGACTCTGTAGGGTACATCCCCTGTGTCTGCTTTCATGAGCTGGCATTGAGTGCCTGTGGCTTTTCCAGATGTAAGGTGCAAGCTGTCAGTGGATCTAACATTCTGTTGTTTAGAGGATGTTGGTCCTCTTCTCACAATTCCTCTAGGCAGTGTTGCAGTGGGAACCCTGTGTGGGGGATCCAACCCCAGGCTCCCCCTCTTCACTGCCCTAGTGGAGTTCTCTCCATGAGGGCCCTGACTGTGAAGCAGACTTCTGCCTGGATAACCAGACATTTCCATACATCCTTTGAAATCTAGGCAGAGGTCCTCAAACCTCAGCTTTTCCCTTCTGCATACCCACAGGCCAAACACCACATGTAAGCCTTGAGCCTTGCAAGCCACATCAAGGCTTGAGGCTTGCAGCCTCTGAAGAAATGGCTAGAGCTTTATCTTGGCCCCTTTTAGCCACAACTGAGCCGGAGCATTTGGGATGCGGGGTGCCACATCCTGAGGCTTCACAGAGCAGCAGGGCCCTGGGCCTGGCCCACAAAACCATTTTTCCCTTCTAGGCCTCTAGGCCTGTGATGGGAGGGGCTGCTGTGAAGGTCTCTGAAGTACCCTGGAGACATTTTCCCCTGTTGTCTTGGCTATTAACATTCAGCTCTTCATTTATGCAAACTTCTGCAGCCTTGAATTCCTCCCCAGAAAATGAGTTTTTCTTTTCTACTACATGGTCAAGCTGCAAAATTTCCAAACTTTTGTGATATGCTTCCCTTTTAAATATAAGTTCTAGTTTCAGGTAATTTCTTTGTTTATGCAAATGAGTATATGCTTTTAGAAGAAGCCAGGCCACATCTTGAATGGTTTGCTGCTTAGAATTTTCTTCCCCCAGATACCCCAAATCATCTCTCTTAAGTTTAAAGTTCCACAGATGTCTAGAGCAGGGGCACAGTTCCACCAGTCTCTTTGCTAAAGCATAGCAAGAGTGACCTTTACTCCAATTCTCACTAAGTTCCTCATCTCCACCTGAAACCATCTCAGCCTGGACTTTATTGTTTATATCATCATCAGCATTTTGGTCACAACCATTCAATGAATCTCTAGGAAGTTCCAAACTTTCCCACATGGTCTTCTCTTCTTCTGAGCCCTCCAAACTCTTCCAACCTCTTCCCATTACCCAGGTCCAAAGCTGCTTCCACATTTTCAGGTGTCTTTATAGCAATACCCATCTCCTGGTACCAATTTTCTGTATTAGTCCATTCCTACGTTACTATAAATAACTACCTGAGACTGGGTGATTTATTTTTACTTTATTTTTGAGATGGAGTCTCACTCTGTCACCTAGACTGGAGTGCAGTGGCATGATCTAGGCTCACTGCAACCTCTGTCTCCTGGATTCAAGTGATTCTTGTGCCTCAGCCTCCCAAGGATGGGATGACAGGCACCTACCACCATACTCAGCTAATTTTTGTATTTTTAGTAGAGACAGGGTTTCATCATGTTGGGCAGGCTGGTCTCGAACTCCTGACCTCAAGTGATCCACCTGCCTTAGCCTCCCAAAGTGCTGGGATTATAGGTGTGAGCCACCACACCAGCCAAGACTGGGTAATTTATAAAGAAAAGAGGTGTAATGGACTCACAATTCTGTAGGATGTGCAGGAAACATGGCTGGGAGGCCTCAGAAATTTGCAATCATGGTCAAGGTAAGGGGGAAACAAACCCAACTTCACATGTTGGAACAGGAGGAGGAGAGAGTGAAGGTGGGAGTGTTATGCATTTTCAAACAACCAGATCTTGTGAGAACTCACTCACTACCATGAGAAAATCAAGGGGGAAATCTGCTCTTATGATTTAGTCACCTCCCACCAGATCTGTCCTCCAACATTGGGGATTACAATTCAACATGAGATTTGGGTGGGACACAGAGCTAAACCATATCACTGGCCCTCCTTTTTGCTTTATTCTTCTCCCTAGCATTTATAACCAGTCAACAGTCTAGGCAGTCTACTGCCTCTCTCTAGAATGTGAGCTCCATGGAGGCAGGGATTTTTATCTGGTTTGTTTACTGCTGTATTCCCTGTGCCTAGAACAGTGACAGGCAAATAGTAGATATTCAATAAATGCTTTCTGAATAAATGAATGGGTGAATCAAGACCAAATGCCTCCTTCATTTTTATTTCTTTGATCATTCAATAAATTCTAGTTGGAGGATAGATTGGAGGGAGAGTGAAAGCAGGTAGGCTGAATAATTAGAATGCAATTCTGATCTCTGATCTCCTGTTTCCCCATTCATAAGACAAATGAGCTGAGGAGACCTCAAAGTACTCTTTCAGCCCCACTATTCTATGAATCTAAGAGCTTTTCCCAGTAGAAATACTTGGAAGATAAAATTAATTCTGTCTTTAATCAACAGTTCCTATCTCTGCACGTGACTTGTCAGGGGAACTTTTCTCTGATGCTCACACGATGTGGGAACTTGTCACATCTTCAATCTCTGGGAACATCCTCACCTGAAATTGAAAGGTAAATATTTCAGTTGTGAGTCTCTCTGTCATGACTCAAATAATTTTAAAATTGCTTAGATGTCTTTGCCTAACAATGTTCAGATTGTTCTAATGCAGGGGAAAACGGTAGTTTTAGACACAGTAATATTGATAGCAGCTAGTAATTTCCATGTACTTCTCACAGTGGTTGGCACTGTGAGGATTACCAAGGAGAACTTTTTACTTACTAAAAAGACATTCTATGTTGAGGGCCCAGCATGGTGCCTGGCAATAGAAGATGCTCACTAGATGGTGAGTTTTGCAATAATTATTACCATGGAGTTGGGTTGAGAAATAGCTGTGCTTCTCTCCAAGATGCTATAAAGTAATCAGGCATCTCAGCTCATAGGGATTTTATCCCTAGAAGACCTTTTTAGATAGACAGCTCAGAATTGGCACAATCTTCCCCTTATTCTTTCAGCAGATGGGCTCTAGTGCCTTCATGAGAATCGAACTCCATCCCTGCCCCCAAGTAGCTCCCTATCTAGTCAGAAGGACAATATAATGTGAAATAAATATCAGTTAGTGGATGTCAATACAATAATAAAGGAAGGTTTTGGGTATTGACCTGAGTCCTTAGAAGATCAAAAACGATGTTTCAAAAACTGTACACTGAATCGAGCACAAATTTTGTTTTGTTACCTTCACTTACCAGTCCTAAAAGAAAAAGAAAAGAGAACTAAGTTAGTAAGAAATTATCAACATCTGAAAGACGTTTATTTATGTGATTATTTTTATTGTCCGTTTCCTTTTCAAGGCCAGGGAATTTTATTTTGATCCCAGCTTCTAGAATCATGCTGGGTGCATAAGAAGTCCCAAATAAATATTTGTTGACAGATAGACTAGACTAGTCCAGTCAGTCTAGGTCACTGTGAAAAAGAAATAAAAGTGGGCCCAGTCAAGAGAGAAGCTGGAAGAGACCCCAAGGCCCATAGGTCAGTGGGATGCATAGTGATTGGGGGAAGTTGGGAGAGGGAGGAGAAAAGGTTGCAGAGATTGGAGGGGTGGCAAGATCCTGGGAAGCTTGAACACCAGGCTAGGCATTCTTGCCCTGTGTTCTGAGGCCCTGGAGGGACAGTGAAGGATTTTAAGCTACAGTGAGGCCTGCTTAAACTCCTGCTACAGGACCTTCTCTTTCTTTTCAAAGTTTCCAGGTTTCTTTTGTGTATTTTGCTTTATTTGACATGTCTAGTCTTATTTCAGAGTTGTCTTGGCCAGCCAAAGTCTTTCAGTGAGTGGGAGGGATCCAGTTACCTGCTCTTCCCTTCCCCAAATTCAATGTAACCTAACTCAAGCCCACGTTTCTTCCTATAATTAAACTCAAACTCCAGCTAAATTGGGCAAATATTTTAAAATGACAACTCAAAAGGATGTTTTAGTAATTGTGTGATGAAGATGTCAGATCTTTGTCATTTCATTGCAGCAGAAGGCCAGCTGGGAGGGAAGTCACTGTTTGAGATTTTAATAATGTGTACAATTCTTTATATATATATATATATATATATATATATATATATATATGATGACAACTGGATGCCAGCTTCACAGAGGATAGATCCAGCTTTGGTTTGGTGTGTCTGTGCTATCTGCCTTGTCTCAGGATCTTCTTTAGTTGATATTAACAAAAGTCTTTATATTAATTGACAAATATTTATTAAGCACCTTCCAGGTTTCAAACACTGCCCTAGTTGCTGCGGCTGGGGAGTCAATGTTGGCAAGAATCTAGGTCTTTACCATCAAGGACTTTTTAGTCTAGTAGGGAAGATTTAACACATGACCATAAGATCACCATAGCAAAACAGCTATCTTAATATACTATGTGTGATTTGCATACATTTTCTCATTTAACTCTCACAGTAATCCATTGTGGTTGTCAGTTTTGCCCCTATTTTGTAAGACAAGAAAACCAACTGTCATGTGGTCAGTAAGTGGTACAGTCAGGATTTGAGCTTAGGTCTGACCCCAACCCCATGTTCTTTCCATAATGCTTGTGTCTTATTTTAGAGCAGAGCTTTATGGTATGTATGTAGGATGGGGATGGGAGAAGGCCAGCCATGCAGTACATCAGGTGTCCTTAGAAAAGAAGAAAGAGCAAATGGAAAATGGAAACTGGCTAACATAAGGAATGGGGAAACTGAAAGAAATAGAATTGTTGGTCTGCTTTGCAGGTGGTCAAATCACCAAGCTCCAGGAGTGTAGGGGCTTTATTTCAATGAAAGCAAGGCCCAATGTTTTAGGGTTTCTGTCAAAAGACAGTGATGTGGAGGTACAGTGGAGCCCCAGACTATCCTTAGTAGAGAAAGTACTCCAAAAATGGCGTTGACACAGGGAAAGGCCTTGGGGAACTAGACTAGATTCCATGCAAGGGTTAGGCAAGATAGGGAGAGAATATGTTCAACTGACTAACACACTCTTGTAAGCATTTGCTGATTTCCCCTGGAGTTGCATGCAGATTCATTCCACTATCATTTACACTCACCATATATCGCACACACATCTCTCCATGGATATGACCCACTCACTCTGTGCTAATCATAAGGTTGTCCACAGAGATATCACTTATCTTCCCCTTTCAGGCATTTTTCTGCTCACTTGTATTTAGGCATGCCCATATGACTTACTTTAGTTAGTTGCATATGTGAAAGTGATGCCTGCAGAAGGTAGCTTTAAGAGTCAGTGCAAGACTGAGCACATTCTCTTTCCCCTGCTGTGGTGAAAGCCAGTATCAGTCAAGATAAAGCCTTCATAATCCTGGGTCCCTGAGTGACTACAATGAGCAAGGCCTCCCTGGTGATCCACAATGGATATCTAATGAGAAATAAACCTTTGTTGTTTTAAGTCATCAAGACTCTAGATTTGTTGTTATTGTAGCATAACCTAGCTAATTCTGACTGATACACAAGTTACAGTCTCTCTGGTTCATTCAATCAACCATCCATCAATTGATCCATTTATATTCATTTATTAATAAAAATTTATTAATCCTCAACTATGTACCAGCCATTTCACCTACTGGCTGATGGGAATAAAGCAGTGAACAAGATCAAGTTTCCATTCCAATGTAGCTTAATTTCTACTGTGGCAAACAGACTCTCTCTCCCTCTCTGCAACCTCTCTCTCTCTCTCTCTCTCTGTCTCTCTCTCTCTCTCTCTCTCTCTCTCTCTCTATATATATATATATATATATATATAGATAGATAGATAGATAGATAGATAGATAGATATAGATATATATGTATGTATAAAACAACAGTATTAGTGGGACAGGCGGTGAGAAGTGGTCAGATTTGGGGTTATTTTTGAAGGTATTTTGCTGATGTACTGATGTGGAAGATGAAGAAAGAGAGAAGGTGTTACTGTGAAGTCACTCATTCACTTTGATGCCTCACCCCCATCTCATCTGCAGGATAACCAACCCTAGCCAAGAGATGCTGTGGGGCTTCCATCTTAGCACTTGTACACTTGGGATTTTCCTCAGGGATCCATGTCATCCCTAGTCCTTTTCTCTCTGTTTATCTTGATTTTCTGGTTTCTGGATGGTTCATATCTACCTTTGCTTCCTCCAAGGTATTTGTGAACTATCTCATGCTTTTTCCAAGACCTCATCTCTCATGGGTTCCTTATCGGAACTTATACTGGAGGAGGTGAAGAGAGATGGTAGAGGTGCCACTGTTATTGAACAAAAGGGGCTTGTTGCCTGATGTGCCAGAAGTCAATGCTACGACATCGACTTTTTTTTAGAAAAGAAAAGCTTTGTATTGAAAGTTTACTCTTAAGGATATAGGAGTCAAGCCCAAATCTGTCTCCCTGTGCTGGCTTTAACCTAGTGTTTTTACTAGAAAAGGCTCAAGGGGGTGGATTCTGAGATTAGTAGGTGACTGGTGGGAGGAAAGGGGAGGTCTGGAAATTCCTTGGGCATGCACAATTATGTCTTCATGTTAAATCATGGGTTGCATGTGCAAATTCTGGAGGAGTTAGTATGAAACGTGGTGATTGTGATGTCAGCAAGCTCGCTCTGCACAACCTCCAGTCAACCATCTTGGTTCTAGCTGATTTCAGTCGAGGAGTTTCAGTGTTTTTGACAGGTTGTTTTTTTCTTCTCTGCCATCCTAAAAACTAATACTTTCTGTTAGTCATTTATTTCTTTAACTCTTTAGGACACAGTCTCACCACCAGGAGCTTCTGCCATAGAGAGAATTTCTGAGAAGGCTCACAGCCCAATCACTGCTGGGCCACTGGATTCTAATTCCCTTCTGACTCCCAGGAGCTTCTGGCTGATCTGTCTATCCTTCACAGAGTTTGGGCCACCCTTGATGACAATGTCCCCTACAGAAAGAATCCAAGAGAACCTCACACTTCAGCAACAAGATTTAGAATCTAGAAATTGTTATTATTTTGGGATGTATGTGATAAGGGAGAATTGGGAGTCAAGGGCAAAACCAAGATAAAATGGGGATAATTGAAGGTGACAGTCCCTGAGATGAGAACACCTCAGGAGGCACAGAGTTCAGGGGGAAGATACTATGTTCTGTTTGGGACATGTTGAGTTGACATGTCCAAAAGTACCTGTTGACATCCAATTGAAGAGGTCTAACGGATACCTGGAAAAATAGGTTCAAAGATTGAGGCTGAAGATATAGATCTGTCCATCAGAATACAAATTACTTATAGTCATGGGATTGGGTAAAATCTCCCACAAAAAATAAGTATAGACATACAAGAAATTGTCGATAAGGGAACTTGACAGAAGGTTTCCAGGAGAAGTCTAGAGAGAACAGCATGGAGGTTCAATTATTCAATTGAACAGACATTTTTGAGTACCCACGGAGTACTCTGTGCCTGACTCTTGTCCCTGTCCTAAAGTCAGAGGGTGGGGATAGAGTGCCCATTGCTACAAGTTCCATATTATCACTCAGGGCTTGCAGTATGTGAGGGGCTGCTTTTCATTGCAATCTTATAGGGACTTGGTTGGCAGTAGTG